TCATCATCATCGGGGCCATCGTAGGAGGTGCGGTCGGTGGTACAATAGGCCACAGAGGCAACGAGGAGCCATCCTCGGCTTCCTCCTCTTCCTCCTCTTCCACACAAACGGCCACCGACGACACAAGCACCAACGGGGATCTGGACAAGAACTCTGCCGAGATCAAGGCCCTGATGAACAACAAGAATTTGCACAAAGTCTTCCCCGGTATTGATTACACCCCGTGGGGTGTCCAATACCCTCTGTGTCTTAAGTATCCTCCATCTCAGAACAATGTGACACGGGATATGGCCGTGCTCACGCAACTAACAAACAACGTGCGACTCTACGGTACGGACTGCAACCAGACGGAAATGGTCCTTCACGCGATCGACAAGCTCGAGATAAAGGATATGAAAATCTGGCTAGGCGTGTGGATCGACAGTAACATAACGACGTCCAGACGGCAGATAGACCAATTGTACAAGATTATCGACGACGCCAAGGATACTTCCATCTTTAACGGGGCCATTGTTGGAAATGAAGCCCTCTATCGAGCAGGCAGTGACAAGACTTCCGCGCAAACGACCCTCATCAACTACATGCAGGAAGTGAAGGACCATTTCAAAAAGAAAAACATTGATCTGCCAGTCGCAACATCGGATTTAGGTGACAACTGGGACGCAACCTTGGTTCAAGCGGCAGACGTTGTCATGGCGAACGTGCACCCGTTCTTCGGAGGCATTCCGGTCGATCAAGCTGCGGCTTGGACGTGGCAATTCTGGCAGGATCACAATGTCGCCTTGACCAAGGGCACCAACAAGAAGCAGGTCATCTCTGAAGTCGGCTGGCCCAGCGGCGGAGGAAACGATTGCGGGCTTGGTGCTAACTGCCCGAACGACACAGCGGGTGCAGTGGCTGGCGTTGACGAGTTGAACAAATTCATGGAGGACTGGGTCTGTCAAGCCCTAGAAAATGGCACGGATTACTTCTGGTAAAGACCCTACAACCACCCTAAGCAGTCAACTGGTTTCGAGCACAGCGGCTAACAAGTTCGATAGGTTCGAGGCATTCGACGAGCCATGGAAAATCGTGTACAATACTGCGAACGAGAATTGGGAAGACAAATGGGGTCTCATGGACGCGGCTCGTAACCTCAAGCCTGGCCTCAAGATTCCGGACTGTGGCGGCAAAACGGCCACTCGATGACTGTGATGCCCCTTTTTTTCACATTTGACCCTCGATACAATAGCTTTTGGCACCTTTTCTATCCATCTATCTTTGCACATGAACCCTCTCGCAACCCTTTTCCTTCTACTTCTATACATGCTTGACGACGCATATCCTGACGAATTTTTACAAGTCTTTGGCTTTGGCGTTGGTGCTGCTATTTCTTCTTCCCTTGATTGTGTACGTTACCACCTGTTGAATATTCTCTTCCTCGGTCGAGGCCAGAGCCCCAATCCCTGGTTGCCGCTGATTTCGCACGATTTTGTTGGAAACTTGTCACAGATTGCACGTGGACACTCCTTGCTAAGATACACTTGTTGATGATTGGATGCATGTCTGTATATACCATGACAGGCTCTCGCTGGGGTTGACTTTGACGCCATTGAACCTGTGGAATGTTGAGTGCTTTAGGATTGTAAGAAATATCAACCACCATTGTGACAGGGGTAGTAGTCTCCTAGTTTGCGTACTTTTATATAATCATGAATCATCAGTGCTGTCTATGGATACAAAGGGGTATATACTAGTCTATCTGAGTACCGCGCGCAGAACCCACCAAGCTCGTTCCAGTCTCAGTCCTTCTTCAGAAGGTACAAGCGCATATTCCAAAACGCATGCTCATTGCTTTCAAACGTAGGAACTCGCACTGACTCTCTAGTGCCGAGATACCGATCCACAACCTCGGACTCGACCCCCTCTAGGGGACCGCCGAAGAGCAACGGCGGATCGGAAACAAACAATTGCTCAAGGTGCGTCCGCTCCGCACCGGGACAGTACAGAAATGATCGACCGGAGACCTTTGCGAACCCCTCGGGGTGATCGAGGACGGTGATCCCGAGAGAATTGAGGAGCAACCGGTCGAGCTGGTTGAAGACGGGATCTTGGGCATAGGCGGTGATCGAGGGATAGTATTCCTCTAAGCAGTGGAGAAATGCACTCGTCAGTCAAATAATCTTTCCATACGAGGCGCACGAATATACTGATCGCAGCAATCGACGTACTCATCAATTCCGTTACGCCCACCAATGCAGCGAGCTGATACAGCGACACACTGCGGCGATCTACCCAACCCCCTCGCAGAAACCCGCTCGGGCTTCCAAGACCAATACAGACGATGTTCTCCAGCGGAGTTGTGTGAGGATCTGGATCGGAGATCGAACTGATCCCTTCGAACCTCCTCCGGAGTGTGTCCGCCATCACGCGCCATGTCTCCGACCCCTCCCATCTCTCGCGGTACCCATTGAACTGAGTCTGAAGGTCGCCGAGGGTCAGTTGAGAGGGAGCTTCGGCTGGCATCAGCAATGGGGTTGTCGATTGGCCTCCGTCAGCGCTGTGGTTTGGGCGCAGCGCCCGTCGCACGTTTTTGTTGGTGGTAACGTGCGTCCAGCCGTCCGCGTCGGTGACTTGCAGGCGTTTCTGCTGCTGGATTTTCGAATCAGGTTTTCTGGGACGTCGTGTGTGCGGCATCTTGGTATATATGTGGTGTCTGATCGTCTTTGGGGAGTATACACTGTGATGTGATGCTCATGCTGGAGGTGATTTTTGTTATCTTTATCGGGACGGTTATCGGTGGTGGGGTGGACCGTGGAGCTTATCGTGTATCTTATCGGTTATCAAGTTATCGGACCTTCGAGTGTCACTCTCATCTTCTGAAGTCTCATGAGCTCCTCCGTACCTTACGCAAAGACTAAGAGAATGTGCGCTAGTTTAGTAAATTCATGTCAGCTTGGACTATGCGCACAATTGGGAATAATACAGGATTTGATTGGTGTCCATGATGATCATACTACGAGCTCCGGATGAGCTGCCGGAACGTGCTACGCTCAAACCAGAACACTATAATCACTACGGAGTATTTCAAGTCCAGTCAAAAGATGAGAAAATCGAGAAGTCTCAGTCATACTAATCTCGGGTATTCTCGAGCCTTTCAAGCGACGTTACTTACTCGAACTGATGATGTGCATCCATCACAGTGATCGCCCCCTTCTGCTGCACTCACGAAGGATCTCTAAGCGCCCAGCTCCATAATGGCTCCCCTCTTCTAGCGTCAAGATAGGGGCGCTTCCACCTCCTTTGCTCCACGAATCATCGGCGCAGAATGGCTTGAACCATCCCTGCCAGGACGTGATGCCACTTGCAGCCCAGCGTCTTGGACGTCCCTTCGATCCAATCCGACGGCGAGATTGGTTGTCCCCTCACGGGCGCAACACTGCCAATTCTCAACGGACCTCTCAAGCACAGAGTAATGAGGCAGACGCTACCGCCAACTTTCAATTTTTCAACCTGCGGGTGTGGTCACATCAAAGTCTCCTGCATTCTCACTCGTCCGATTTTAATCCCCTTCCTGCGGTTGTCAAGTCAGAATGTGAAATGCTGCTGCAGGACCTGGCCTTCGGGCTTTATTCGCTCTCTTTCAAAAAGACTTGAACGTCCTCCCTATTTGGTTCATCTGGCTGCTGCTCGCGAAGCTTATTTTCCTTTCCTCTTTGATGATGATCATTTTCTGCGGTTCGGACGGTTGAACTGTTCGCCAACTGCTTGACTTGACTCGAACACTCCCGTAGGAGTTTCACATCCGAAAAGAAGACGGTCGTTCTCTTTTGTTTGCAGGACTACTTCTGCTGTTGCAGTTGACTTCATTATCCCTTGCAGCCTTCCGTGAAGGTCTCGCAAACATCATGGTGCTTCAATTTTCGATATCACAATGGGCGGCGCTCATCGCACTGCTGTGCGCTGGACTGGCTAATGCTCACACCGTCATCACATACCCAGGCTACAGAGGCAACAACCTCCACACCAACGGCACTGTCGAACAGTCAAATGGTTTGGGGCAAGCTGAAGTTAATGGCTCGCTAATCTTCCCCTACGGCATGGAGTGGATGTATCCTTGTATGAACAACCCGGCTAGCCTTCGAGTCTGTCCATGAACGTGTGCACAGCTAATGTATAATCGTATCATTTTTGCAGGCGGAGGTATGCCGACAACCACTAACCGAACGAAATGGCCGGTCGGAGGCGGCGCTGTTGCCCTCCAACCTGGCTGGTTCCAGGGTCATCAAACCGCCCTCATCTACATCAACCTGGGCCTGGGCACAATCCCTCCGAACATGAGCCATCCTATGGTCGCTCCCTTCCAGATCACGGGTCCGACCAATAACCCTTATCCCGGTACTATCTGTCTGCCACAAGTCCCACTGCCGGCAAACATTAGTGTGAAGCCAGGAGACCACGCCACTATTCAGGTTATCGAGACTGCCAAGCACGGTGCAGCTTTGTACAATGTACATTCCCCGCTCTTTGCCAGATGGCTGAATCTGACCATGATGCAGTGCGTGGACATTGAATTCGCCGAGCCGTCGGAGGTAGAGGAAGTGACGCGTAACAACTGCTTCAACTCGAGCATCATCAGCTTTGGCGAGGTCTTCACAACAACGTCGCTCACATCAGCGGCAGCGCCCAAGCCGTCGCTGATGAGCGTGCTGCCTGTTTACATGGTAGCATTGCTCAGTTGGGCGATGATGTAAATACCTGTTTTACTTTGGCTTTTGTGGCTCGTTTTTGCATTACATACCCAGTTTGAGTTTACTATTTCATGAACTTTGCAAGGCTTCCTAGACACCTCACTCTTTCCTTGTGAGCCACGCATTCTTATTCTACAGGCGCTATAGTCTACGAAGCCCCATGACCAAAGCAGATACTTGTTGGTCAAAAGTCAAGATATAGCTTCAGACGCTAATTGACCAAATATTATACCATATGTCCACACACAAATTCACAGGTTCATTACGTGTTCATTCGACACTACGCACCAGGCGCAGAATCGCATTGGCAACCTCCTCTGGGCTCTCCTGAGGCGCCCAATGCCCAACCCCTTCAATCAACCTCAGGAACCTAAAATCGCTGCACACCTCCCCATTCACCATCTTCTCCAACGCCCCTGGTTCCTGGTAGATGCCCCAGTCCATCTTCCCCGACACAAAAGCACAAGGCACCTCGATCCTCTTCCCCGCGTAAGTGTCGAAATCCTGCGTGAACCGACCATCCCCCGCCGTCCGCACTCGATACCAGTTCAACCCGCCCTGGAACCCCGTCCGCCCGTACTCCGCCACATAAACCTCCAGATCGGAATCCGGCAGCCAGGCCTGCGAAAGCTGCTGAGCGTTCTCCGGCTCGTTTCCCATTTCCAGCGCGATAGCTTCGGGCATGGTAGCGTCCAGCGGCATGATATAGTAGAACGGTAGTTGGAATAGTTCAGCTGCTGTCCAGGTCTTTAACGGACGCGGGTAGTTGCGCGCGCACGAGCCGCTCTTCAGGTGAAAGTATCCTCGCAGGAACTCGTGGAGTCGGCCCGGGGAAAGGTTCATCTCGTTGCTTGCAGAGGCGGTGGAGTAGTACCATTTGTAGTGTTTGCGGTTGCGCTGGGCCAGCTCGGCGTGGATGCTGTTGCTGGCGGCGGATTCCATGCCGCTCCCGCTCCCTGGTGTACCGTGGACATGGTCAGGGTTGGTTGCAGTGTTGAACGGTAGTGATGGCGTGCCGTTGAACGGATGGCTCAGCAGGAGCACGCTTTCGAAGAAATCTGGGCGGATCAATGCGCACATCGCGGCGGATACGGCGCCGCAGTCGTGGCCTACGACGCAGCGCACGGAGCGGTACCCCAGCGCGTGGACGAGGATCACCATGTCTCGTGCTAGCGAGGTGAGCGAGAAGGTGGACAGGTCTACCTCGTCGTAGCTGCGGGTGTCCCAGCCTGTGGTGCGGCCGAATCCGCGCTGGTCGGGGGCGACGGCGTAGTATCCTGCTTCTGCTAGGCGGGGGAGGATCTTACGCCATGAGAAAGCCAGTTCGGGGAAGCCATGGAGAAGCAAGATTAGAGGACGGCTGCGGTCGGGAGAGTAGCCGGCCTCGAGGATGTGGAAGTTGAGGGCGGAGGTGGAGACGGATCGACTGGAGACATTAGGGGGAAGGGGGAGGGATGCCATTATTATTTGTGTATCACTTTGCTTTGGAAGTTGATGGAGAGAGATCACCTAACTATCTACCATGCAATAGTTAGCACGAGCTTTGTGCATTCGGATGGTATGGATCTATAGATTCTGTAGATCTACATTTTCTCCACTTTAATGCCGAGTATATATGTTGGAGTCTCCATAATGATCAGCCATATTGATTACCCGAAAACCAAGGCATAAACTAAAGGCAATAAGGCAGACACAGTTGTTCATTGGTAGCCTTATTTTCAAGGTACCGACTAGCTGGAGTTGACAGATGCAACCTCAGGCACCGACACACCCACACCCGCATACATCATCGATGCCTTACAGAAGACCATCAATCCTGCAGCAACTCTGCAGTACGTAAGAAGACCCTAATTTATCAGTCTTGGGAACTTTAGATCCTCATCAAGACAAGAAAAAAAGCTAAAAAAGAGCCGATCCACCAGACAACCCAAAGAAAAAAATAGAAAATCGGCAATGCTCAATCGCTCATTGATCTGACTTGGATCGGCCTCCAGTCCATGACGCAAAGTCTACCCCCTTCGATCCGCTCTCTCACATTTTGCTCTGGATCGGCATTTATCCCCCCTTCTACGGAGTAGGGACTGGCAACTCCCTCTATTCATCGTCATTCGGAACTGACTTCTTGATTTTCTACATTCAGTTTCGCATCAATTTCTCCCTTCCCTTCTTTCACCCCTGTTCCTCTAATTCGTCTCCCTTAACACATTCTTTGAGGGAATCTTCCGCCCTTTTTTTCCGCATTCCCCCTCTCACTGACAACGCAGCACAATATTGCCAGGTCGTCCGAGGGCTTTTCGAACGTCACGGAGTTTACGGCTAGAAGACCAACATATCCGTCGCTGCTCTGCGTGATATACATTAAAGTGCAGTGATAGATAAGGCACGAAGAAGAACCCGTGTCTTTGTCGACATCAGCCTCCATGTCCGCCGTTTGAGGGCGGACGCGACGATATCGAGTTTCTTTCGCTGGTGGACCCAACATGTTCCGCAGAAAGAGAAGCACATCTCGTCATCAGGTGAGCTTTGCAATCTAGGCGTATTTCGCAAATTAAAATTGGTCGAAGCTGATTCTCATTGCTATCCCCTAGCCTCTCTCCACGGTTAACTCACAGTCCGCCCAGTCCGCTGCCACTCATGCCTTCCTTAAATCCCAACCCTCCTCAAGCAGCCTGTCTTCTGCTGCGGCGGCGGCGGCTCTGCGAAGTCTCACACCTACCCCGACGCCCGTCGAAAATGTCCAGACGAAGAGAATGATTCAAAGGCGGGCCTCCGTAACTTCGCAGACCAGCATGACAGGTAGCCTCCGTCCAGCCAGCAGGATAGCCCTTCGTCGCAGCAATAGCTCAAGCTCCATGAGCAACAGAACGTTCCGAGAACAATCTCCGCGCCGACCGGCTACCAGTAACGGCCAAGTGGATGTCGTTCCGCCCCTGCCCTCCATGCCTCCAGGATTTGGAGGCCGGAAAAATCCTGGTCGACGCTCCGTCAGCCTGGAGCCAAGCGTGCGGTTCAATTCCTCGCCCACAAATAAGACGCTGGGTCGCGGTATGAGTGTCGACAGATCGCTGCGATCACCGTCCAGCCATTCGCCCCTCCAATCCCAACCATTGTCTACCGTTCCTGAGCTCGAACGAACAAGCAGTCGGAACTCAATCAATTTCTCATATCCGATGAATGGCCGACCAACCTCCCCAACTGTCTCGCGTCCGTTTCCCACACAACATGAACCCTTGGCTAACGTGTCGCTCAATCATGAGTTGTCACCCGCCACGTCCCCGAATGCTCGGGTAGCGAAAAGCCAGGAAATGAAGAAGGCAGCTGGGCTCGTTACTGGAAGCCCCGGGAGAACCGCCTCTTCCGTTGGTACCGCTGTCGCAGCTGCACAGGCTGCTGTGGTACCAAAATCCGATGGAACAGGTCACTCGCCTCTGGCCAATCGCTTCGTCAATCATCGAGAAGCGGCCACTAATACACATGCGCAGAGTCAGGCCTTGCGACAAGTATCCTCATATGCGACGGGACCTACGCAGACACCTACCGTACCGGAAGAAGACCCCCAGGGAGAAGAACGCGCGGGACCTGATGGAATCGGGAGCCGCTTCAATCATCCGCGCGCTGGAAGTGTTTCGCCTATCGACGACTTTGTGCCCAATTCTTCGGAGCATTTGTATGCAGTGGAACCTTCAATTATCAGAACGCCAGCCACACCGGACGAAAAGGATGCACGCCCTACTTACCCTGTCCATTCCACGGAGTTGAATGAATCGGCAAGGCTAGAGAATGGGCTACAGCAATCCCCCATCCATTATTCAAGCAGCAGCCCGGGCAGATCTGCTCGATTTTCAACTCAACTTGCAGTGACTGGAATTGCTGAGCATCAACCTCCTCCGAGATCCGTTTCACCGGTCAAATCCGCACTGAAGAATGCGCGGAAAAGCTCATTGTCTCCTGATGGGAGAAATGGAGGTGTTCTCCGTCCAGGCCCGTCAATCAGTGAGCTATCCGACGCCACTTCTGTGGCTTCAGACGATGGCTCCAGACTGGGCTACCGTAGGAAGCCTGTCAAAGTAAGCTTTGACGATGATACTGAAATTGTTGGAATTGCAGCGAGTCCGCCGACCTCACCGGAGGAACTAACCCCCGAGTCCCCTGAAAAATCCAAGGCCAGAACTGGATGGTTCGGGGTAGGTAAGCGGAAGACATCTCAACGGGATACCGTGCATCCTGATGAGTTCGATGAGGTTTTGAAGCCCCGACCTGCTCTCCCTTCTTTTGGCAGTATAAGAGGACGCCGAGAGGACGAGCCTGAGCCCGCCCAGCCGGACTTCAGTGACAATGAGTCTACCGCCTCGTCTGAGTTCGATGCAGTGGTCTCCGGCTGGTCTGTCTCAAATGACCATCCCGTTCAAGTCATCATGTCCCACCCTTCCGTAACAAATCATCCATCTGGCACAGAAGTCGATCGCATTGCCCTCGCTGAGTCCTCTGAAGGGCCTAGCGACCAAACGAATAGTGCACCTAGACAAGAGGGTGACTTAGTTCACGAGCCGGTGTCTCAAGCTTCTCGGGCTCTGAAACCGTCAGTAGCGGATGCACACTTAATGCGAGAGCAGGAACCATTAATGACTCCAGGTGTGGAGTTAGCGCTACAGGGCATGGCGGCCCAAACAACCTCACCTGGTGCCGAAAAAGGGCGTTCAAGTCTTGAGATATACAGAGTTCCCGGTGGTTTCCCGCGAACCTCGTTAGAACTCGATCCCAAAGCTGCCAGTAAAAGGAAGGGCAGGAGGAGATCACGTGGCAAGTCTATCGACGAGTATATGCCAAACGACAAGGAGAGCGGTGACGAGTCAGGGGAGAGTGTTTACAGCGATGCCGAGGAGGGCGTCGATGGTGATGGCTTTGGCTCAATCAATGCTATCGTGGATGCGCGGATAGCGCAAGGCAAAGACGGCCGGCCTGTGGATGCTCTTCTCAACAACACATTCTCCAAAGACGACACACGCGGATTCGGGACTAAGTCCACCAATGGAGCGGCGAACAAGCTCGAAGAGTCAAGTCAGGCCGATTGCGCAGCAACTCCCGCGCAAGCGCAACCTGCTTACTCTCCCTCCTCCGCACAAGCAGTTTCTACACGGTCTACGGTTCAGACGCAGACGATCGCCAAAGACATACACTCGTCCGCACGCGCGAGTCAAGCGAAGAGGCCTATGTCAACCATAGTATACAGGGATTCAGGGCTTCGTGACGCTGTTGCAAAGGATGGCTCATTACACGACCTATCAGGCAACGGCAGCTCTGCTTTACATCGAGCCGATATTGAGCGGGCCAAAAAGAGGCCTGTGTCATTCGGGCCGGTCATCCAAAAGGAAATCGATCCAGCCCCTTCTAGCGAGAGACTTATCAACAGCAGAACGCCCTACATGCCTCAAAGGAGGATGTCCAATGGAAGCGACTCATCCAGCAGTTTCATAAGGTCCACGCGCCGTGCCAAAAAGGGTGGACAGCATACCATGCGTCGCACCATGCGGGGAGGCCCTCCGATCCGCGCCATGCCACCGTCTCCCGGCCGGGTACCATCACCCACCATAGAAAGTCGGCCTCTTTCTTCGGGGTCGGTCACAGGCACCATGCGCACTACATTGCGGACTGGACCCAAGAACGACAAGTCTCCGAGCTTCTTCTCTAGCAGGTCTCCGAAATTGAAGGTTACCAAGACAGCAACACCTCGTTTCGTAACACGATTCCCAGATTCGGATGACGAAGATGCTGATTTCCGGCAGCGGAAACTTCAACGTCGATACGATGATTCCAGTGACGATGAGCAAGGCCGCGTGATGCACACTCTACGCCCGGTTCGGGGCATTCCTCGACGGCAGGGAACAAACGACGGCGATTCGACGGAACTGGAAGATAGCTCTGAGAACGAGAGGCCGGCCACCCCTGCACCAGCAGCTGCCTCCAAGAAACCTGATCTTCCTTCGCACGACCCAGGACTTGCTGCAGTGGCCAGGTCCCGTGGAATGACAGAGGAGGAGCTGGATGAGTTCCTCCACCGGCCGGCAAAGGGGCGAGTGTCTGGGATTCTGGGCCGGTTCACTTTGAAGAAATCCAGGCCACCCATGGAACACAAGGCTTCCAAGTCCAAGCCGGAGGAGCGTGCTCACATGCGGGACGAGAATTTGCTGAATCCCGGTCGGGGAACAACGGTCACAACAGTTACTGCCAACCACTCCGGGACTTCCCCTTCGAAGCTCACCAAGGGAGGCTTGAAGAAAGCGAACGGGAACAGCTGGCCAATGGACTCTGGGCACAAAGTGTCAGACGCCGCAGCAGATTCTGAAACTCTGGCGGAACAACACCCAGTAGCGATGGATGCATCTGGAGACGGAAGTGCATCTACTGCTCGCCATAGTGAGCCCTCCGCAGGGGACAGCGCAATTAATATGCAGAGCTCCGAAGCCGCACCCCCGCGCGAGGAACAACACTTTGCTAACAGCGATGGCAATAATAATGTCAGCGCAAAGGATATCGTCTTCCCACAGGGAGGGCGAAAGAAACGATTTCCTCGTCTTCGAAAGGCATTCGGCATGCGCAGCTAAGGGGAGCCGAATGACGTCTATTCGCTTCTTCCACTACATATTAAAGCATATTTGCTTGTAATCTATACAGAATTTGGCAGGTTCTCTCTGAGAAGGCTTCTCTGATAGCTGCCTGTGCTATGGATTGGTCGAGGTGCCGATCTTTCTCACGTTTCTACGATACTACGAATTACTACGCCTATATAGGAGGGAGCTAGTGCTCCCTATTTGCCGTGATTTTCAATACTTTGCTCCCATCCGCCCTTTCAATCTAATCTGCTGTGATACCTTTGCTTCTCTCCACCGGCCCCGCAAGGTGTGGACGAATTGCTATTATAACAACTCCTACATAGGAGCAGGCTTGATTTTTTCTTTTTCTCTTCTCTTCTTCTTCCGTGTCGTTCTTCTACAATTTCTGAGATATATAATAATGACTTTGGCGGGACATGGGTTCAGGAATACGGATAATATGGGTAATGGACGAAGGGTTAAGGTTAATGGTCTTAATACACCATCTTAGGTTCGAGGAGTTTTGGCAGAAAGATTATCATCATTGGATAGAAGGAAGATTAAGGACATCTGTAACATCTATGAATTATCTACCGGATACATAATGCCATTTTTGAATCGCTCATTGACGAATACATTCACTCTTTCTGATGGGACGCTGGTTTCTTCAGGCGTTCATTATGGAGTACTAACAGCACATCAACTGAAGCCTGAGTGTCCAGATACCAGTACGCAGTTTGTGCCCTGATTATCCTTCATCAGAACGAGCTTCGCTGAGCTGCTGAGTGCATGCAAAAGTACCCGATGATCGGCTGTGTTGACCCGTGCAACAACCTCGGGATGGGAAGCTAGGGAGACATGGGAACGAGCTCTTCTCTCTCCACTCATGAGTCCACTTCTCCAGTGATTCCGATCTCGTGCAAGGGCCCACACGGCAAACCAAAGGGCCAGAAGGCAGACACGACAGCCACTTGCACCAACCTCTTGCTTTTCCTTCGGTCGGGTATCTATCAATAGACATGGGAATGCGTCTACAATTGGACAGTCGACGGCGGAGATTAGGTTGAAGCTGTGGCGAACGACTGTCCATTATTATTGTTGTTACATACCTTTCTGTCTAACAGCAAGGTGACGAAAAGGGATACAGCTCAGTAAATTCGATGGCTGGCTGGCGCGTAGTCGAGCAGCCGTGAAACCAGAGCAATCATCATAGAGATCAGAAGCACTAGGGTGGAGCGCTTTAGATCAGGGCTGTCAGCCTGTAGAAAGATGCTGGTGGTCTTGAGAGGGGAAAGACCACGGCTTCTCCGTGTAATGAACGGCGGCAAGTGAGATGGGGACGCCGATGAAACACCAACTCCAATGACGGAACTCCACGAATATTGTCAGGATCAATTGCAGATGGGGCAGAGCGAAGGAAACTGCCAGAATGCTGTAACAAGTTTGGAACAGTATCTCCTCCATATTCTCAGTTGATTCTCTCCATCACACTGGCAGAGACAGCCCAATGCTGCTCATTGCTTAGTCGAGCTGGTGAGGAGAAGAACCGTGCATAAGCCACCACCAAGGTCGATCGTCCCAGCCCAGTAGCGCCAAGGGATCCAGATTTCCGATTCGACCCGGGGAGAAGTTCACGTTGCCATGGAGATTGGTGTCTTTTTTGAGTTTCAGCTCGGTGTAAGTGCCATGCTGGCCAGCCTCCAGACTTTGTCACCAATTGCATTATCACTATTTATGGGGTGCACGGCGTACGAAGAGGAGAACTCGTTCCACGGGCTAGAACGTATTGTCGTCATGCATGTGAAGGTTCATCCTTCTGAATGGAATAATAATGTTTTAATTGACCGCTTGATGGTGATGTGTATTATTTCGAAGCATTGTCGATATGTTGATGGGGCCGTTCGTATGCAGCAGGATTTACGGAGTAGGCCGATGGAGTCCTTCAGAACTAGCTATATATATCTAGGATCAATGACCTTTGCAGTTAGCACATGCTTTTCCTTGAGCATAAATTGACCCTCAGGAGACGAGAATAATAGTGATTTTCTTTCGTACCGTTTGGAGAAAGTGACTATCGTCCGCAACCTCGGATAGATGAAACCCCAGAGGGTGTTTCTAATCGGGAGGCTGGATCAGGCCCAAACGGGCAAAGCGCAGTAAACAAACGCGTGGAAACAAGAAGCAGCAGCATTGGATGGAGGAAGTGATGTGATGATTGACGGATTGATGGATTGATTGAATGATACGATTCTGTTGCCGTATGGGGGAAGTTTCCTGGGTGTACTCCGTAGAAAGTAAGGTGTTTGTTATGATTAGAGACAGTTGCGCGCAGTAGTGAACGACGGCCTCTCCCTTCCTATTTCAAGCCCCTCATCCTCTTCTCCTTCTTCCTTTCTCTTCTCTTCTCTTTTCCATTCCTTCTTCCTTTTGATCTCCAGCATTCCTGAGTTTATCTCACATTCCCCCCTTCCTGTCAACCACAGATTAGATTAGATCTATCTAATCTTCTATCTAATTCTCACTCCAGCGAGAAAGACTTCTCTTCCAGTAAAGAGTCTTTTCTTGTCTCGCCTTTCGAGTTGTTTCGCAACAGTTCGAAAGGGATTCGAGAAGAGACGCCCAAAGGACAGCCAATCTGGACTTTGACGCCCGCGTCCCCATCCCCTTCAGTGTCTTCCCGTCGTCGTACCGGAGTGACGCTGTTCCTGAGACTACTCTGACTAGAGTAGAGGGAGAAGTCAATCTCGATCGTACTTCGCACGTCGAACGGGAAGATACTCGAACCTCTGCTCCTCTTCCCGGCCCTCGTGTCTACGGAAGAGAAGAAGTCGATATCCATATCACCAAGGACCGTCTCCGCGCACCTTCTCGCAAGGGTGACGATTTCCAGGTCATCTACCACAAGGATTCTCGCGTTCCTGAGGTAGAACTTTCGCGTGAACGGTAAGCATTTCTTCTTTCCACGTATTTCTTTTTTTATTATTACTTCCACGGCCCTTGAAAACTACTTGGTTTCTATTCGTTATTTCCCCCCTCCTGTGGCTGTCATTTTTTTGGGGTGTGGTGATTTGTTTTCTGTTGATTTTCCCTGAATGCCTCGTGCTTCTGCATCAATCTACATTTCCAGCTGGAAAAGTGGAGAGGGTGAGAGAAACAAGGCAATAAGCGGAAACGCAGCGAAAACAAAGCAAAACAAAACAAAAACAATACAAGCACCAGAAGAAGCGGTGACCTCCCGAAGGCTGCATCAGCCGAGAAAGTGGCACCACAAGCCTAGACTAGAGCGGATGAGAAATGGCGAGCTATCAATTTACGCAGTAAGCTCGGTGCTTTTGCTCAGCCGGGCCTAAATTGATTAGCCGCTCCATCCAATCTATTTACGTGGCACAAAAACACCAAAAACAAATGGAGCCAAATCAAAACAAACGCCCCCCCAAAAAAAGAAAATGACATCCAATGAGCGGTGTCGGCCCGTTCCCTTACCCAATGCCCCCTCTCGTGTCCCCAATCCATGGTTGTCTTGTCTTCCTATTTCTTGTTTATCATTCTCTCTCGGATAGTATCTAACATTCTCCCCCGTTCCCACCCCCAGATACCGTGAACCCACTTCTCGCTACGAACCTTTACCTCCCAAGCCTGTCTACGACCGAGCCCTTGAGTCCCAGCTTGACATCACTGAGCGAGAGTATCGTCGCCGTACCGACCCTACTTACGACGTCAACGTTTCGTACGGTCGTCACCAAGCTCCCGTAGACTCTTACCAAGCCTACCAGCCCCAACAGACTTCCGACGTCTCTCTCCAGCGGTCCAAGACCGAGATCGACGTCTCGTACGACAAGGCCTACGCTCCTAAGCCTCTCGAAACACGCAAAGGAGACTCCTTCAGCCGCAGCGAGCTTACTGTAGAGTCTGTTCCTTCTCGTCCTTCCTCCGTCGCTTCGATCTCTCAAGTCAAGGTCCTCAAGCCTTACACCGCTATCGACCAACCCCCTGCTCGCAAGATGGGTTACTACGACGACGACGGTAACTACCACTCCTTCCGCCGTGGCGTGGAGCGTGCTGTCGACCGCATCACGCATCCATTCCACCACCACCATCATCACCACGATCGTGAGGAAGTAGTCATCGCTGACGAACGTGGCCCAGTTCGTTACCGTGATGGCGTCCGTGAGGATGTTCGCATCGTCGAGCCCCGTGCCAGCAAGACCACTGCAGAATCCGTCCCCATCCCCTGCCACTTCATCCGTATCGGCGACATCCTGATTCTTCAGGGTCGCCCCTGCCAGGTGATCCGGATCTCCGTCTCCCCCCAGACCGGCCAGCACCGCTACTTGGGTGTCGACCTCTTCACCCGTCAGCTGCAGGAGGAGTCCAGCTTCGTCTCCAACCCCTCCCCCTCGGTTGTCGTTCAGACCATGCTCGGTCCCGTCTACAAGACCTACCGCATTCTGGACCTCCACGAGGATGGCACCCTCACCGCCATGACCGAGACCGGTGATGTCAAGCAGGCCCTCCCCGTCGTCACCCAGGGTCAGCTTTTCCGCAAGATTCGCGAGGCTTTCTCTGAGGGCCGCGGTAGCGTCCGTGCTCTGGTCATCAACGATGGTGGTCGTGAGCTCGTCGTTGACTACAAGGTCATCCACGGTTCCCGTCTGTAAGCGTCTAAGCCTTTTTAGGCTTAGCCAGCTTGGGTAACGGAACAGGTTAGTTTATCCGCTTTGTCACCCACCCATACACTATGATCCTATGAACCATGGTTGTTGCTTTGACCCTGGCGAGATCTCCGTCACATGACGCTGACGTCACTAATTTAGTTAGGAATCTTGGTATCTGCTGAGCGAAAACGATAATTTATATGTATGGCAATTGCTTGTATCTGACATGATGGACTACACGATTGGAATGGCCTCTTGATGAAAAATGAAAAAGAAAAATGACAAGCACGACTTTTTTGGTTCATCCCGATTTTCTTGTATCAGTCATGGCCACCTTGTAACTACAGCTAGATCATAATGCTACTTACGTCCCCTTGATCGCATACTTAAAGCGAATTCTGTAGACTTGTAGTTACATTACGAATTAACTGTCATTGTGTATCCTTCTATGTCAGGAGTCGTTGCCATTATTGACGCTCGTTCAAGAACATCTTGGCCGTCATGAATCTTAATTATGTGATATCGCTCTATCAGCGATTAGCTATTGACTGTCCTCCCAGTTGAAACATTCAATTCATATAGTTCACTTAGCAAAACAGAGTAGCAATCGACATCAACAATATATACCAGACATAATAAAGCAACCAAGCCTGTCCGTCCATCCATGTACTCCTGGCCTGACCTGCCAAAACAAAGAAAGAAAAACCTATGAACAGCAAAGAGTCGATTTTGTACAACCTGCGCCTTCCCCTCTCTGCAAGTGCATAAGAGGACTCGTAGCCAAAGCAAATAGCAAAAGTGGAAGGGAGAAGAGGTAAAAAACTGAAAAGAGAGGCGAAGGGAATAAAGAAAGCGGAGGATGAATGAATCAAGGCCGCCTGGCCAGGAGCATCTTTACCAGGATTCTGAAGAAAAGAAGAGCAGAAAAGCGGACGCCGAACGCATAACCAGTGTATCATGGTGGAAAGCATTATCCGAAGCGGAGCGTAAGGAGATGATTCAACATGTCACATCGCAGGTCGAGGATCAAAATGCCGGATCACCCGGGAAAGAAATGTGCTGATGCCGTGAAAACGCCGTAAGTCGATCAAGGTGCAAAAAAGGGATGATCCAGAAGCCATATTGTACATGTCCACATGCGGAGAGAAGAGACGGACAGGGTATCGTTTATAACAAAGCCCCAAGTAGAAGTCGGCCAAGAAGAGAGTCACAATTATACTCATGAACACGAATCGAGAACGGACATCCTCGGGTCAAAAAGGGTTGACAAGGATTGTCACCGTTCCCCGAATTTGCCATATTCCTGTTGCCATTTCAGGAGATGACGCGTGAGGACATCCATCATTTCAACGCTGCTCAGATCTTTGAAGTCCTTCTCCTTGGGAGCCTGACCAGATGCTGTTTCGCTATCAACGCTTGCTGTCCCCGACTCCACTTCGTTGGTATTCGAAACTAATGCAGTCTCGATTTGATCCATCGTGGCCTTTGTGAGAGAGCCATTTGGTTGGTCTCCATTGCCGGGAGGGGTGGAAGTTTCGCCGGCAACAGCCATCTCCACCTGCATCCGGGAGATGAATTCAAGGATTCCGGCAACTCGTCTCTTCATCTCGTTCATGGTTGTCCGTTGAGGGTTCATGTAGCGCGGCCTGCTCGGTTTTCCAGAATCTACATTGTAGTGCGCTCCGTTGACTGCCCCCACTCTCGGCGAGTCCCCACCGATATCGTGTGATTGCCCCCGTCGTGGAGAGTCAGCCCCATTCATATCTCGGTCCCTCGTATATTGATTACGTCCGACCCTTCCACCACGTCGCGCAGGTGGGCGTCCAGACTTGCGGGTTGACGGACGGGAGGGAGCAGGTTCCGGAGCAGGTGCAGCGGTCTCCGGGCTAGTTTGAGGAGGCTCAGGGTCTTCCGCAGTGGCTTTATTCGGCGATGGTATCTCACGGTCGGCATCTGCTCGTTCCAAATGTGTTAGGACGAGGAATCCCAAGATAACTTCAGGGCCCTTACCTTCACCATTTCGCCTCTCGAACTTTCCCTTCTTGCGGCTCGCAATCTCCGCGGGGTCTGTTTCGGGTTCTTCTGTTTCTTTGATGGGCTTTTCACGATGACCCCGCGGTGCCACCCTAGAGTTTTTTGTACCGTTGCCATTAACTTTTGTCTTCGACTCATCTTCTGATGCAGGTTGAGATTCTGTGTTCTCTGGTTTTGAGATAGCGCTTGGTGAAGGGGAACTTGTACGCTGGCGCTTCGTCACCTGCTTGTGACTAGGCGGGGAAAACGGGTCAGCAGCAGCACCAAAAACCAATGTTACTTGGGCAGGGTCATCAAACTCACGCTTCGCTGTCACTTCGACTCCGCTTGCCTCGTCGGAGAGCGATGTCCTCTGCAGGGGGCTGAGTATCTTCCTTGCTCTCCTCGATCGCTCGCCGGAGCTGCTCCTCTTCGTCATAAGCCGCATCACGACTATTCATGGTTGATCTGCGTTTGGGGTTGGCAATGGACTCGCTCTGTCGTGATTTGGAATCTTTCGCCCGTCGCGAATTATCACGGGACGAGTCACGGGAGGTTGCAGGGGAAGATTGGACTGGGGCGACTGGGAGGTACTGTGATGAATATTGTCTGTAAAAGTGTAAGCATGACGGCCATATGGTTGAAACACGATTCCATGTAGAAACATCGCGGTTGAGGTGCGTGAGAATTTAGGACATTGGCTCAGCCTCCACGGGTAACGAAGAGCCTGACCGCATCATCCGGGCAATTTAAGGCCGAGTGGACGCAGTAAATCAGAGAAGGGCAAATTCTTGAAATGAGAGTAGAAAAGAGGGTTGAAAAACATACCCGTTGGGCTCATTCTTAATTTTGTGAAGATCTTTCCGACACTCCTCACAGAAGTACTCGTCGGGACTCATCGCTTCATCCATAATTCCCACACAGCCACCGTGTTGCCAAACTTTGCAGGAATCACACTGGATGAACATGCTACCGATATCGTCGGACATCAGGTCCGATGAATCTGCAGAAAGATTCAACGCATGTTGATCCTTGAACCCAACAGCCGCCCCGTTGCGACCGAGAGCCTCCCGCCGAGAGGGAGGCAGGCCTGGGTAGTCTTGCTGCCCACAAAGACATCGGGTAATCTCTTCTTCTTCGTCACCCTCTCCGTCTTCATCCTCATCTTCCTCCTCCCCATTCAATCTCACATGGTCATCATCTCCTCGGGAGCGCTGGCGCTGCCGCGTTTGTGGGTAGTCGTTTCTTGTGGCGCTGTCCGCATCATCAATGGACTGGGACCGTTGGGTTAAAGATCTCTGAGGCGAGGAAATTTTATGGTTCGACCGAGTGCTTCTTTCGCGAGTCAAGGAATTCGACGAGCTGGAGGAATTTGTATGCTGAAGGATGGCGGGCGAGGGTTGGGAGGTGCGGGCACGAGAAGAGCGACGAGGAGTCATGGTGGAGCACTGCGAAGCGAATGGAGCACAATAATTCTGACAATGGGACGAATATTAAGGATAAGTTAAGTATATAAGAGTCAAGCGAGGCACAATTATAAGCAGATGCTGCCCATGTGCGAGCAGTCGCACGCGGGTAAGAAGCTGGGATTCAACAGCGACGACTCGTAGGAAAGGCGGAAAAAAGAGAGCGAAAGGACCGGCAAGGGAAAGAGTAGGAGCTGGCGATTGAGACACGAGGTTGAAAAAGAACCCAAAAAGTAGCGTCTGCGAGCCCGAGTCTGAGCCGAGGACTACATAATCTGCAGATTTCTATTTGTGAGGGTGGAGGGGAGGGAGACAAGGGAAGCAGAAGAATGAGATGGGGGGAGGAGAAAGCGAGTTCGGTAGCAGTAGCAGTACGGAGTACTAGCAGTAACAATCCTAATCAAAAAGGCGGACCACCGCAAGCGGGTTTCCTTTTTCTCTCCTCTTCGGGCTTTCCCCGCTCATTATCTACCAGGTCTCTTTTTGCGCTCCACGAACCTCGAGAGTCAACTATTGCAAGTAATGCTATCATCGTCTTGATGTTGGAATTACATCTCGCCTGTGTTTTTAGGGCAGAGTTGCTTGCGATGGTGTATGACTGAGCCCAACTGCTGACCTGGGTTGACAGAGCCGATGATGGCATCGTCCATTCCGCCATTCATTCCACGACACAGAAAACCCCGCTTATCAATCGTCGACCGCACACAACGTCCACTGCCTGCCTCCTTCCTACTTGCCGATCCGAATTTAAAAAAGACTAGAGTTGGGTCGATTCACTGGGTGGACAGAGAAAACTGTGTTTTCCTACAGTCCAGGTAGTCAAAGGAATTGTCGCGAGGAAGCGGTCCTCCATGACCGTTCAGGCAACTTTAATCCTTGCGGGTCATCATACAAGAAAGCCTCGTTTCACCACTACATTTGCTTGTGGACTCCGAAAAAACTCGATGAAATTTGCTCAGCCATCTTGCTGCTCCTATTCTACGAGTGCATAAGCTTTCAGCTCCAGAAGTACCATAGCTTGTTCCTGCAGGAATGGTAGGCCCATAGAGCGCTTGAGGCTGTGAGAGAACATTACATAAAGTAGATAACCAATGTATGAGAGATGTCCTTGAGAGCAGTGCACGGTATGATGCCTGTTTCGATTCACAGCTTGTAGACAATAGCACTAATCAACAGCTGGACTCGATCGTTGAACTTGCCATCCGCTACAGTATGTGGTGAAAACAAAATCTTGCCAAATGATCATTGCAACGATTGAATTGTACTTACCAACTCATCTTCAGGGAATATCTGTAGAAATAGAAGATGTCTAAGGTATTTCTTGCGATCGAGACTGTTCGGTCCCGTAAAGGAATAGTAGCTTGTTGAGGCCTCAGGCGCCAAATCGGAGCCTCAGGGCGAGAACCCGCAGCTCCAAAAAGAACTATTATGTACGGAGATAGGTTGCTACTACGGAGGACTCTTATGGTCAATTACACCCCTCCATCATCCATCGTCCTTTTTCTAATTTCCCCCCATCAATAA